CCCCCCCATACATATAACTAAACACTGGCATAAAAGAGGGCAGGCATTGTATCCATACTGATACTTGCATTTCTACATTGGCTAACAACTTTTAATTTGGTAGGTTGTTAGCCACAAGCTGTGTTAACTGCATGCTTCGACTTGACCTCTAGATGCCACTAAATTTTACACTCTGTCCTTCTGGAACATATGCAGGTCTGGTGTATTAGCAAGCTTAAAAAGTAACATAACGCCGCTCATTTTTTTTTTATCCTTCTCACTACTGCAGTGTTGTACAAGTGCATACAGACAACACTGATGGGTGTGGTTGTGGCTAAACACTTCTGGGTATGATTGGACATGTTCTAAGCTAAAATCTTTCAACCAGAAGAGGGCGAATCACTGCTTTTCTGGTGTTAATTGACTTTTTATGGACAGGAACTGAAAAGCACTGCACTCATAGATATTGAATTTTGCATCACAAACAAGTTAATGTTGCTGTAATAGTGTTTATGGGAAAGTCATTATTTAGGATCACAATACAAATGGCATTTTAAAAAAAAACATACAAACAACCCTACAGTACATCTGGACAGAGTATAACACAGTGAAATTTACAGACACAAAACATGTTTCCCTTTGGTGATTAACTTTGCATAATATATTTTATATATACATATTGTACACACATACTTACAAAGGTACACAAAGACTGACACACTAGTAAACAAAGACACTGAATGTTTAGTTGGTTTGATATAATAACCTAAATTAATACTTAAAAGAAATGTTACAGTGAATTTCAAATATGGAGTGTTGGGTCCAGAGCCATATATTGACAAAATCTGGTCAAGATTTTTATGACATTAAAGTGTGAAAGCTGGACAAATTTAATACAACAAGTTTGCTATGGGGGATTGGTTCCTTGGAATATTTCTCTCATTTTGTCTCAAGTAGAAGTACTGCTAGAGATTTAAAAAAGCACTGGCACAGGAAGGAAATGACTAATAAAAGTGATGACTAAGGTGCCCTAGACCACAGTCCTTTATCTCACACATGCATCAAAAATGTATGCAAGTGTTGCAGAGTGATGGTGAAATTTTTTTTTGTCTGTATATCACAACATAAATTGCCTGATTAATAGGCCAAACATCTGGGCAAAGATACCTGGTGACTTAATGTTAACTCTGCAGCTGAAATTCCTGAAAAACATCTGGTTTCCTGGAAAACGTTTGACTGTACTTTTGGCAGTGATTCTCACTTTGCTGTCGGTTTTTGGGAGGTTTGTCTATGTATTTTGGCCAAAATGGGTTTTGATTTAAAACATTCAGTTTGCAATTTTTAACAATGTGCATCATAGCATTGCCATGCTGGATTTCAGCTGGCACAAAATCGCAAGTTAATGAGAGCACTTGTGGAAATATTACACCATTCGAACTGCACTGGCTCATAAGTGAGTCAGTTGTAAAGGCACCCTAAGGCGGGAAGATAAGAATAGACTTTAATTTGTCATTGCTGTCATAAAAATCAAAATAAGCTACCAAATAATACTTTTAATGTAAGCGTCAACTATCTCTCTGACAGAGACACAAAATAAAACATGTTTTGGTTGGATATCTGCTTACTTCATATCACTGATACCAGTGTTACGGCAAGTAAAACTCTATGCTGGTCATTCAGATTTTGTTAAACAACTGCAGCATTTGCTAAGGCTTAATGCATTTCTGTGTCTGTGGGGTTTTAGTTCAAGAATTCTCTGAACAATTAATTCAAATTCTTTATTTTTAAAAGAAAAATGTGTATTTTCTAATGGAGGTGAAAAACACAAAAACTAAACTAAACTCAAGAGCACTGCTTTTGGCTAGCTTTCACTGTGTACCACCGACAAATTACAAACTGCCTTAAAAGTGTACACCTTTGAGGAATTTGACACCACAAACTGCACAGCTTGCTGCTAATCAAGGTTATGTTGTGAGTCATTAGCCATCCCAACAGCATTGTTGTGCCTAGAGCCCTGCCTGACACAGTGGCTAGCATGGCTACACCAGAAGTGAGGTAGGTAAATGCTCACGTATCATCATTAGTTCATGAAAGCTGGTAAAAATAGAGTGGGAGAAGGGTTTTCAGTCAAAAGTTTTGATTTTCTTTTTTAATTTTAAGTTGTTCTGTTAAATAACCCATTCTCAAGGTACCACAAAGCAATTTGGTACTAACTCAGGCGATACTTTCACATTCACTTCCACAATTCTCCCTTTTCCCTCCCGAGGTCAGCATCAGGGACCAAGGAAAACACTGAGAGGCAGTCTGCTCAGCACATTTGGTGTCATAATATGAAGTCTCTGAAAGTGCACCAAACATGACTCTCATCCTGTCTTCACATAACTGTCCTCCTCCTACTCTTTTCCCTGGAACAGCCTGCCTTTAAATCCTTAGAGGGAGTAAACAATCCAGGATTTGTAGCAAACATTGGATCCTTACTTTATTTAAACTGAATGGAAGCAAAAACCCAATTTAATGGATTCACAAGAGCGTGTTCATAAAAGAGGATCGGTAGAATAGAATAAAAAAAAAATCTGGTTGTACTTTGTAACTTACTTGCTGCTAAACAATAGATGACAACTCTACAGCAGAAAATGATAATGTTTGAGGTTATTAAAATACTGTGTTGAATTCATGGATGAAACAGTGTCACAGGGTTTTGGTAGATTGCAAAACATGGAAAACAAGTGAATATAGGCAGGATTTCACTTTGGATGACATCTTTTGAAATACATATAACATTGGTAACAATATCCTGCATTGAGCCTACACCACATCCATTTAAAGTTAAAGCTTCTGCCCGACAAATGGAGATGAAAATCAAAAACACTATGTTGTAAATCTGGGATCAGGTGAGTCAGCAACCAACAATAACATAAATGTAGAGTGTTAAGTTTGATACTTTTCATAATGATGGGGCTCTAGACGAGTAATAGTACAAACCTACCAGGCATAAAGTTAGAAAGACTGGATAAAGAGGATGGACTATACTGGCAATACTCTACTTCACAGATTTTAAATAGTTCATATCATCTTTACCTGTGACAACACATTTAACACAAATGGAAATTAACAAAACAAAATAATAACAGCCTATCAGAGTTCTCTTCAGCTCTGTCTTCAGACAGCTTGAGTCTTTTCAGCTTTCATTCTAGTTGCCATATTCTTCTTGACATACACTCATTTACCTTCTCTCAGTCTGTATCTCCTGTAGAGAATAATCCCTTCAAGATGGATTCATATCCAAGACACTGGGCTTTTTCTTTTTTCTTTCTTTTTTTTTTATACCACCGAATGTTCATTGTGGTGGTGATGGTGGTGCATGGTGCTGCCAGTCAGCACCGTGTGATTGATGGAAGATGCAGATCGGTCGGATCCCTCTGCTGCCGTCCCATTCACATTCTCCTGCCTCTGGCAGCACAAGATCTGCCTGAAGGTTGCGCTCATCTCCTTGTCACGGTAGGAGTAGATGATGGGATTCATGGCAGAGTTGAACTCGGCGAGTAGCAGGAAGAACTTTTCGTAGGTCAAGACATTGCAGCTAGCGCAGAAAACATCAAGGAGGAGGATGACCAAACCAGGGGTCCAGCAAATGATGAACGCACCTAAAAAAACACAAACTGTACATATTAGTTGAGGTAATTGACACGCCCATCAGAAAACCGAAGCCTACTCCATCCTTTCATACACTGCGCTACATAAATGATAACTG